AAACTAAGATCTTACATAGAAGGGGGTCAGTGGAACCCATTAGAGCTGCCTCGAAACCATGTATTCCTCAGTAATTAACTGTACTGACTCAAGTGCCTGCCATGATGGGCCCACAGCAGAACAGATTCCAGCACAGGAAAGGTCCCGCACCCGAGTGGTGCAGAAATGGACCAGCCATATCACCATCTTCTAGAATGCTTACTGGAAATGTGTATGGCTGGCCCCACCTCATGCCTTATGACTCAGAAATTCCAAGGTGTAAGCACATGCATTGTTTTAAAGTATGGCAGGAGGCACTGCTAATGCTGGGAGCCACCGTGTGGCCTTTTTAATTACCTCTACAAGCCTAGAATTCTATGATTCACTTAAAGAAACCACAGTAATTAAAACTGTAGCATTCTTTTCTACACAGTAAAGTAATATAGCAATTGATTATTTTGCCATTTTCTCAGCATATTAGAGGAATTTCTAAACTAACAAACTACAGAGGAGAAGGAAGCCATTTTTTCTTGTGCTGAAGATTATGAATAGCGGCGTGTTGGCATGCATTTTATATATGTTACCAGTGATTTATATATATAACCGCTTTCAGTTAAAGAAGCAAATCACACTTGACACACGTAAAAACGCTTTTTAAAAAAGAACAAAATCTAGACAAGTTAATTTCCACCATTCTCCTTAACTGCAAAAAGACTTACCGGTAGTAATGAAGAAGTATTAATAATCCCTCTAATTGTTTGTGACACTTTGAGCAAACATTATCCAAGCACCCACTGTGTTCTGCAGGCCAGTAATAAACAGAAAGGACAGATGCTGCATCCTGGAGTGTTTAGTCTAAGATAGATGAACTGGTACACGCAGGCACAAGAAAACCTAATTGTAAAAATTCAATTTAAGAGCAACACAAATGACATTATATACTTACTAAAGGAGATTTTGAACTATAGAGGGAAATCTCTATTCTTTATTTTTACTGAGGTAGAAGCAAATGCCTACCTCATTTGTTTTTAAGGATAGCTGAATGTTAAATTGACTAACTTGATAAGTATACTGTGGTTGTGTAAGAGATGTTACCTTTTAGGAAGTACACATTCAAGGATTTAGGGGTAAAGGGCCATGATGAATGTAACTTACCCTCAAGTGGTTCAAAAGAAGTGTGCATGGGTGTGTGCGTGCAGAATGATAAAAGAAAAGAAAGGGAAGGAACGAATACAAATACATAACAAATGGGATAGACTGTTAACAAATCAATCTAAATAAAGCTATATAGATTTTTTATAATATTTTTATTTTTGGAACGTTTCTATATGTGTGACTTTTATTTCCAAATAAAGCTTTAAAAAAGAGGAGGAGGGAGCCCGGCCGGCGTGGCTCAGTGGCTGAGTGTCAACCTATGCACAGTTCAATTCCCAGCCACATGTGCCCAATCAGGGCACATGCCCGGTTGCGGACTCAATCTCTGGTGTGGGGCGTGCAGGAGGCAGCCGACCAATGATTCTCTCTCTTTCTCTCTCTCTCTCTCCCTCTCCCTTTCTCTCTGAAATCAATAAAAATATATATTTTTAAAAAGAGCAGATAAGTATGTATGTAAAATAGCTGCTAACCTGTCTGGCAAACAGAAGGCATTCAAAAAATGATAGACATGTTGCTATAACTGACTTCACACCTGCCTTGAGTGCAGATGAGCATTAGCGTTTGGTATTAGATTACATACAAGTATTTATTGAGAGTCCAGATGTAAGGTGCTCTGCTAGACACTGCAGTGAACAACCTCAGAGAAGTCAAGCAGCCGCTTACACACTCAGGAGTCAGACAGTAACAATGAAAGACAAGACAGCAAAGTTCAGGAAGCAAAGAAACTAAGATCAAGTGCAAACCAACATCACCTCTTTCCTGTGTGATCTTAGACAAGCAATTTAATAGCTAGGAACATCTCTATAGGTAGCACATCAAAAGGTAGAAACATCTATTTCACAAGGTAGCCATGAGAATAAAGTAGGATGTACGAAAAGTTGCTCTGTAAGCTCAGAAGTGTTATAAATATGTTAGCTCTTACTGTATTGTATGTAGAGAAATGTAGGGAGATAAAACTTCTACACAGTAATCATAATGCAAAGCAGAGTGAGTGCCACAGGAGAAGATTACATCCTGCTGGGAGGGAGAAGAGGAACTCTTCATAGAGAAGGTAGTTCTTGGGATGGAGCTTAATGGGTGGATGGGCAGAAAATCAAAGTGACAGAGAGGAGGAAGGAGGATTCAAGGTTAAAGAGATAACCCAGCAAAGGCATGAAAAAGAGTGTTAGGCACCGAAGATTTAACAAAGGTTTTGCAGGAATCTAGGAAACAAATAACAGATAACCAGAAATAAATGAGAATGAACTGGAGAAGGCTTGCCGAACTCCTGTGAAGGCCCAGACATGTGACTCATTACTCATCTGGACCCAGTTGTAGCACCAGGATTCTCATCTTCCCTTGCCAGAACCAACAGAACTTCACTATCCAAAACTATAAAGTTTTCCAAAATAAGGCATGCTGTTTCAGAGGAAATAATTTCAGCAAGACATACAATACACACACTATGAAAGGAAATGTTTTCTGTCCCACGAAAAATTCAATCCCAACGAAAATGAAGATAATCCAAAAGAGTTTATAATCTGCATCTGGCTTTGCAACATTAGTTCTTTTCAGTGAGGAACCTCCAAATCACATTTCCTCAAGCCAATATTAAAGTAAGAAAGTTCTGCCCTGGCCAGTGTGGTTCCGCTGGTTGAGGGTCATCCCATGCACTAAAAGGTTGACGGTTCAATTCCCGGTCAGGGCACATGCCCAAATTGTGGGTTCAATCCCCAGTCAGGGTGCATATGAGAGGCAACCAATCAATGCTTCTCTCTCACAACAATGTTTCTCTCTCTCTGTCTCTCCTTCCTCTCTCTCTAAAACCCAATAAAAAAAATTTAAAAACACATTTTTAAAGTAGGAAAATTCCTTAACTACTAACCAAAAAATCATCAAAAGTGATTACTGAGAACTAAAGTCAAATTTTCTTTGTCAGTTTGACAGACTTTCCTAGAATGTGGCTTTATTCAAATTACATATTGTGATCAAATTTACATTTTACCCACAATACACAGCTTTGTTTTTTAAGAGAATGTCCTTTTGTTGTTTTTATAATCCTTTGACTTGCATGCTGTGAAATAACAATAATTACTCCATCATGTTTTATATTTTTGCATGAATAGCTTTGTAAAGATTTAGGAAGAAAGCTATATAAAATGTGCTGTAACTATAGCACACTAAAATTCTAACTATTTTAATGCCTTTAACTGAGTAGTAAATTTTAAAAGACCATAGATCATTGAAAATTATATGGAAATAATCTCAGATCATCTATCCCAACTTTCTCATTTGAAAGACAAGGAACCTGGAAGGTAGGAAAATTAAGGAACTTCCTTCCAATATACTGCTAGCTAGGTGGGAGCAGATCTAAAATTTAGAAGTCAAGTGTTTTGGCACCTGATGCTGATGACACCAGATGCCATCCTGGACTTCATTCTGATGACACAACTTCAAGAAAAACCAAAACCACCCATGAATCTATGTTTACTTTTTAAAAAACAAAAACAACAAAAAAACTCCAAAGTTTTGCCATTGTTTTGGAGAAAGCAATGAATGACCTTATACTTACTGTCTGCTCCCCAAAATCTCCAACCATATTGGGATACTGCAAAATACTCAACCTTTAAATCCCTATACCGGTTTAATAATTTAAAAAAGCAAATACTACTGTATTAATGAAGTCTTCCCATGGGACACACAAAGCCATTCCTATGCTGCCTTCATGGCCATGAATGAGCCAGCACGTACAGCCTCCTCACCTGAAACAAGGCAGGCAGTGGGTAAGAGGAACTCGGAGAATAAAACTCTGCAGGTCTGGCATTCTAGGCAGCCTGCTCCGCACCAAAGACAAAGCCATGATTGATCACAAATGTAACTCAACTCATAATTAAAAGAAATCAAAGGAAGGCAAATCTAGAAACCTGGTTCACTGATCAATTCCTAAAATCAACAGAGAGGTCTTTTACACAAAGAGGTTCCCATGACTCATTATCTAATGTTACCGCACTGTAGAACTACATTTTCATATCAAACTGACGCTCCTCCCTGAGTGTGGCGAGGATGCTACAACCACAATTCAGCTGTGGAACTCAGCTCCATTTAAAATTCCTCCAAACAGCTGCACTCTGCACTATGTAATTAAGTAGACGTTTAGTAAGAGCACCTCTGTGCAGACCTCACAACTACCAAAGTGTCAGCCTACTTTCTGTTTCTCCTTCAGAATAAAGCAAAAGTTCCGTTTATATAGCCTCTCGAGTCATAGGTCCTTCACACCAACAAAGGGGCGGACCAGAGGTACTCGGTACTTCCAGAGTCTTAGGTCTGATCACTGTGAAGCAGAAATGAGGCTTTGGTGGGAAAGGACTTTCCACAGTTAACAAAATTTGCTTCTAATCTGATAAAACTCACGTTTGTGCCACTTTTGAATTTATAACAAAACTCTTCAAAATATACTAATTGGTCATCAACAAATGAAACACTTATTACAATAAGAAAACTATACCCAATTAGTCATGTAAAAACCTAACCAATAAAGTCCTTAAAACAGAATGATTTCCTTATAAAGCACAAGCAGTAAAAAGTTTCCAAGAGCTTAACTGAATTGTACAGCTAGAACTCATATAAAATGCGTATTTATAAACATTCTTCTTGAAAAATGGTGCCTTATAGGTAAACAATTTATTCATTATTTGCATATATTTAAATGCATTCACTACACTGAATGCAAAAATTAATATTTTAAATTACTTTCAGTATGTCACATTTAGATAGCTGCACAGATCCAATATAACTATTAATAGTGGCAGCCAAGGGAAACAGAATTATTTATGGATAATTAACAATCTGTATACATCAAAGTACTGAAAAAGTCAGAAAGGGCTTACTTGCTACGCCTGATGCAAGTCCATACAGCAGTCCTCCCCCATCCGACTGCTGAGGGAAAACATGGGCGCCTGGGGGAGGTGGCTTTTCTTGTCTGATGAAGTTATACAATAAAGTTTTCACAAGTTTGCTGGTGTATGGAAGACTACACAGAAGGAAAAAAGAAGACAATCACACTCATACTTATGGGAGTCATCTGATTGTATATAATAATAACCTATATAATCTAGTAATACAAAAGATTAGCATAATTCAAAGAAGTCTAGCATGGTCACATGATAGTGAAGACCATCAGACTTGAGGCTTAACTCTGGCTTCTCCTTACTATGCCATAGATCATTGGTCAAATCACTTCCACTCTTGAACTCACCTTATTTGTAATCTGTATAACAGGTGAGATATTATAAATTCAGTATATAATACAGTAACTGGCACTTGAAGGGAGGTAGTAATATAGCATTAGCAGGGAAAAGCAATAATACAAAAGAGTATACTTTTTAAGTATGAAGTTATTCAATTAGCGCATGCATACAAAAATATATCTGTATGTATATAGATTTTGTAAACGTTATTCTCTTTGCTTCTAAGTAATGAGATGAGGAGAAGGGAGAAAAAAAAAATAGGTGAAAAGGGATGTGTGTCCACAAATTGGTGATAGATCAGTTCCTGCAATATAGAGAAAATTTCTTAATAGACTCTTGAGCCAAAGCTCAGGCCTTTCCCCTATTATCAGTGAAGGTGCCATGAAGAAAACAAAGGTAGTTAAGAAGGATGAAAGTCCCTGAGAACTTTAATCAAAGCTACTCTGTCTTTGTCTTACATTCCAAAATTCTGTGAAGACTGTACCAATAGAAGATGCGCGCGCGCGTGTGTGTGTGTGTGTGTGTGTGTATTTAATTTACTCCCATCCCCACCCACTAGAAGACTGTAAGCTTCTGTTCAGAGTATAGCCCCACATCCTAACATGCCTAGCACATGGTTAGCACACAATAAAGATGTATTGACTAAATGAAAGTAGGTACAGTCAGTCAAAAGGTTATGTGGAAGTAGTAAAAAGGGAAAGACACAAAAATAATTTCAATGAACAAATATTACTGGATGACTGCTTAGACATAGAGAATGATAGAGAAGAAAGATGACTTCAAAGTTTTAATTCTACAAAGAAATCACTACAGAAAGCAATGGAGCTGGGGAGTAACGGGGGCAGGAAGGATGGACAGTTTGGACAAAAAAGGAGAATCTAGTTCCTTATGTGTTGAGTTTGAGGTGCTGACAGAACAACTAGAGGAGTGTCTGATGGGAGATATAAAACAATACAAGGTAAGAGGCCCGGCCAGACGGCGCAGTTGGTTAGAGCATCAGTTGGTTAGAGCATCAGTTGGTTAGGCCAAGGCTTGGGGTTAGATACCCAGTCAGGGCACATACAAAAATCAACCAATAAATGCAATAAATAAGTGGAACAACAAATCTCTCTCTCTCAAAAATCAATCAATAAATAAAAATTTTAAAAATACTAAGGGGATAAGACCAAAAATATAGATTTATACAATAAAAAAAATAGACAAATATATTTTTTGTTTACTTTTTAAATATTCATTTATAGTTGACATTCAATTTTATTTTATATTACTTTCAGGTGTACAGCACAGTGGTTAGACAACCATATAATTTACAAAGTCGTCCCCCCAATATTTTCAGTACCCACCTGGCACCATACATAGTTATTACCATATTATTGACTATATTCTCTATGTTGTACTTTACATCCCCATGACTATTTTGTTAAAAACCTGGACAAATTTAGTCTTGGCTGGTTTGGCTCAGTGGTTGGAGCACTGGCCTTCAAACTGAAGGATCTTGGGTTCAATTCCAGTCAAGGGCACGTACCTTAGCTAAAGGCTCCATCCCAGCTCTGGTTGGGGGAGTGTGGGAGGTGGTCACTTTCTCTCTCTCTCTCTCTCTCTCTCTCTGCCTTTCTCCCACCCCCTTCCATTTAAAATAGAAACATACCATCGACCTCGCATCAAATACTTGTGACTAATGCTCTGTCGCAAAACTTCCTTGTGATATAGTTGACAGGAAAGGAAAACCACCATTGTTGATATAGCTTCCACTGATATTTCATATGTAAGGTCTCTGGAGAAATAGAAAACAAAACAGAATAATGGATCAGTTTGGAACAGTTAATATATTGCTCTTTTCTGAATTTAAAAACTCAAATCTAAATATTCAACATGTTTATATTATAAAAAAATACTAATATGTTTAACATAAAAATTAAATTAAGAAAAAAATATGAAACCGTTCCCCAGTCATTAGCTCTTACACTTGGGTCAGGTATCCCATTACTTCCCTATTTTCCCATTCCCATCTCCTACTAAATGACAAGTCTATTTATCAGAGCATAATGGAAACCATTTCCAGCGCTACTCTGTTCAGTTGGAACTCAGAAACAAATGTTCGGATTATAAAGCTGAAGAGGCATCAGTGTAGGAAAGAAAACAATGCCTCTGCAAGCTGACAGTCACTTTCCAATGAGAACAACGGCATGTCCTACGCTCCTGTCTCTAGTGCCCTCATTCTCAAGGCCAACTCTGCATGTTCAGCAAAGTGTGCGCACTAAACAAATTATTCCTGTTTTATATTCCTTTTCGTTTGGAAAGGAATACTCTCGTCCCTTCCCAAGATCATTATTCCCTTTTAGAAACAAATCTTATCGCATCTCAGCCATTTGGCTAAGATCAAGGGTAGAAACAAATCTTAGATCAAATAAAAAGGAAACGAAATTTTTCTGAGAAGGAGCACAAACAGGAATAAATGCATTAAGAAATCTTCAGTTATTATAAAAATTTAAACACGATTATCATGTGGAACAGTTAGCCCAGGAAAATAGAAATCTCAACAACACAGCAAAAATAAAGTAATAAGTCCAGAAGAACATAAAAATATTTTATGGAACTGAAATATTCATAGAAAGCCCAAAGAAAAACACTATCTACTTAAATGGGGCTTATTAAACAAATTAAAGATGACTTAATGCTAGAACTAGGCAAGCTTAAATTCTACCAGATATTTTAAGGACAGAATTATAGTGCTGACAGAAATATCTTCTCAATACAAAGTATACAAAACTCAAGAGGCCCATTCAATTGATCTAATGCCATGCAATACTGCTGTAGTAATAAAAACAGCACACAAAAATAATCCAATGAAACCCAATTGAGAATTAAATATATAGTCAGACCTGTGTATATATGGAAGCAATATATAATAAAGATGGATCCAGAAAATAATGGAGAAAAAACAAATTGTACAGAAGATGGTACTAGGAAAATATGGGCCCATTTCATAAAGAAAAATAATGATGGGTCCCTAACTTACTACCTACTATCAAAGACCTACTACGGATGAATTACAGACTTAGATGTGAATGGCAAAACTAAAGTTAATAGAAGAAAATGTATACTGATAATTTGTAACATCAGCATAAGAAAGGACTTCTTAAATAAAAGCCTAAGAGTACAAAGCCGAGAAACAAAGGCATTTAATTACATCAAGATTAAAAATGATTGATTGCTCAACAAATGAAACTTGGACAAAGTTAACAGATAGATGATAGATTGGAGGGAAAAACAAAAAACTAATATCTAGAATGTTATAAGCAATCCCTGCAAATGGCAAAAAGAGGCAAGAACTCCACAAGAAAACAAGAGTGGAAAATATAAAGTCACTTTAAAACAATATGCTATCCCTTTATGCCCTAGAAAATGTAAAGGAGTGGCAGGCATATGATGACATACAAGCCCTCATGTACTGCTCATGGGAGTATTAACCAGTCATTTTAGAAGACAACCTATAACCCACTATTCGCATACACACCAAAGAAAAATTCACAGAAATATGCCTCACTGTGAAGACACTTCCTAAACGACCCTAATCCCTACTTCCTGATATTCATGATCTTGTGTAGTTTCCTCCCCTTGGATCTGGTGACTCGCTTCTAACAAAGCGAATACAGTGATAAGGTGCCACTTCTGAGATATGAGCTTACAAACAGATAATGGCTTGTGCTGGGCATGCTCTCATTCTTCTATTTGCTTTATCTGAGGAAAGCCAGCCGCCTTGTTGTGAGCTGACATATGAAGAAGTTCACCTGGAATTAAGGGAGGCCTCCAGTCAACAGCCAGCGAGGAACAGAGGCCCTCAGTCCAACAACCCTAGAGGAATTGAACCCTACCAAAAGCCAATGAGAAATCTAGGAAGTAGGTCCTTCCTAGTTGAGGCTTCAGATGAGACCACAGCCCCAGCGATAAACTCAACTGCAACATCATGAGACACTTGAGTCTGAGGCACCAAGCTATGCTGTGCCCAGATTCCTGACCCTAAAAGCTGTGAAACAATGTTGTTTTAAATGGCTAAGTCTAAGGAGAATTTATTATGCAGTAACAGATAGATAATATAAAGACATTCCTCATTTGTGGTGTTGCAGTCCAGGTGACCATCTCTGCGGAACTGGTTAAGTAAAATGTGGATGCACACAATGGAGCAGTTTGAACAGCAACACTAAGTTGTTCATTTAGCATCAGAGGTAACTCCTAGCAGTTCTGAGAGGAAAAACTAAAAAACTGAATGAGTTCTGTAACACAATTCTACTTATGTACATTAAAAATATATGTACACCTAAGAATATTTTGTACTTTGACACATACACATGATAAATACATGCATTAAACACATTAAAATGGCTACTTATGGAAAAGAACTTAGTTGAACTTATCATAGTAGGAACTTAACAAATATTAAATGGAATGAACAAACCATCTACAATTCCGTACTTAACAAATTTAATTTGCTAAAGTTATCTGCTTTGAGAAGTTGAATGCTTCATTAGTTTTTACATTGTTGCCATTTGCAAATCACCACAAACTTAGCATGAAACAGCACACATCTGCTATCATCCAGTTCTGGAGTTGCAGTGCAGGTTTTAAGGGGTTAAAATCAAGGTCTCAGCAAGCTGCTCTCTATTCAGAGGCTCTAGGGAAGAATCCACTTCTGGCTGGTTTGGGTTGTTCACAGGATTTAGCTCTTCCTGGCTATAAAACCGGGGTCCCCCCTTTCTTGCTGCCTGTAGAGGTCGCCTCATTCTTTGACTCATGGATCTCTTCCTCCACCTTCAAAGTCAATAATGGCTTTGAATGACTCCTCATATTGCTTCTCTCTGACCTACCCTTTGGTTTCCTCTTCTACCTTAAGGACTCATGTGATTAAATTGGGCCCACTTGGAAAATGAAGGACAGTCTCCACATCAAAGGCCCTTAACTCTAACCACATCTACATCCGGTAGAAGATGTCTTCTTCTATTCCTATTTTGCTGAAAGTTTTTTCATGAATGAAAGCTGAATTGGTCAAATGCTTTTTCCACATTTACTGAAATATCATATGGCTTTTCTTATTTGTTTTGTCAATGTGGCATATTATATTGATTGATGTCCAAGTGTTTAACAATATTGCATTCCTGAGATAAGCCCCACTTGGTCATAATGTAATATCCTTTTCATATATTACTAGATGCAATTTGCTAATTTTTTAAATTTTTTTAATTGATTTAGACATAGAGAAGGAGAGAAGAAGAGAAGGAGGGAGGGAGGGAGGGAGAGGGCGAAAAAGAGGGAAAGAGAAACATCGATTTGTTGTTGCACTTACTTATGCATTCATTGCTTGATTCTTGTATGTGCCCTGACCGAGTATCGAACCCACAACCTTGGTGTATCAAAACAATGTTCTAATCAACTGAGCTATCCAGCCAGGACAATTTGCTACTTTTTAAAATATATCTTTCTGCTTTCTTTTTATATAATGTCACTATCAGGCTTTAGTATCAGGGTTATGCTGGCCTTGTAAAATAAGTTATCTAACTGCTTTTGAAACACTTTTATTGAAATATGTACTTTATGATGTAATATTAAGCAAAGACAGAATAATATGCATCATGTGAATGAAAATACATGCAGATGTTAATATGCAAAAAATAAAAATAGCAATCCTGGAAGATGAGATTATGGGTAACTATTTTACTTTTTTAATATATTTTTATTGATTTCAGAGAGGAAGGGAGAGGTAGAGAGAGATAGAAACATCAATGATGAAAGAGAATTACTGATCAGCTCCTGTTGCCTCCACAGGCCCCCACCAGGGATTGAGCCTGAAACTTGGGTATGTGCCCTGACCAGGAATCGAACCATGACCTCCTGGTTCATAGGTTGATACTCAAACACTGAGCCATGCTAGCCAGGCTATTTTATTATTTTTAATTTAAAAATTTTAATTGAGTTTATTGGGGTGACATTGGTTAATAAAATTATATAGGCTTCAGGTGTACAATTCTGTAACACATCATCTGTATACTGTATTATGTGTTCACCACCTCAAATCAAGTCTCCTTCCATCACCATTTATTTCCCCTTTACCTCTTCTACCTCCTCTGCCCCTCCCTTTCCCTCTGGTAATCATACTGTGTCTATATTTACTTATATTTTCAAAATAGGAAGAGCATAAAGAAAATGAGAGAAACATTTGCTTCAAACTGGTTGTCTCTACAGGGAAATTTCCTGAAAAAAATAATATCATAAAAGATGATCTGAGGATAATATCTAATCTCATTTTGACCACATATATTTTATGAACACTTTCATGTGTTTAGATTTTTGACCAATATAAATATATCATCTATTTGAAAATTAAATTAATCAAGAACTAAAAATAGAGGCTAGTCATTAAATTGAACTTTATTGATTAAAATCTGATGACATATTGAAATAAAAGCAAACAAAAAACTGAGTCTCATTGTGGCATACTGTAGGAGTCATCGGCCCAAAATTAGAAAACCTGGGACCTGCTTCTAAGTTCCCTATTAAACTCTGTTCTCTTCAGCAAATAACTACCTCTGGGTCTCTGATTTCTTATCTGTAAGTAAGTATTTTACACCAAATTATCTCAAATGCCATTTCTTGCTATAAGTTTCTATAATGCTGAAAAAAAGAAATTCAAGGCAATGTTAGGTTCTCACGAAAACAAAATTTCAATTATATTAATTGGACTATCTTACGTGCCAAATAATCAAGGAGAAGAGCCAGACA